CTCCACCACTTTGATAGACGTAGGCGACGAAGAAGTCGAGCCATTAACCGTGGCCAAGCTCTTACAAAGGACAGTTGAAAAGGAAAACTCCAACTTGGTTATTTTGGGAAAACAAGCCATTGACGATGATTCTAATCAAACCGGGCAAATGTTAGCTGGTTTGTTGAACTGGCCACAAGCAACCAATGCTTCAAAAGTTGAAATTGACGGTGATAATGTCACAGTAACCCGTGAAATTGATGGAGGTTCCGATACTTTACGTGCCAAGTTGCCAATGATTATCACTACAGATTTAAGATTGAACGAGCCAAGATACGCTTCTTTGCCAAATATCATGAAGGCCAAGAAGAAGCCGTTAGAAAAATTGAAAGTCAGCGATTTAGGTATTGAATTGTCCAAGAGGTTAGAAACCTTAAAGGTTGAAGAACCACCTCAGAGAGAGGCTGGTGTTAAAGTGGAATCGGTTGACGAATTGATCAGTAAATTGAAAGAATTGAAGGCTATTTAATAAACACTAACGTGAAATCACATTATCACTTCATTTCATCATTCTCTTTGTCATTTGTTTAAAAGTTATTCATAAATACAATACATAATACATAAATCTTTTATGAAAGGTTCCTATAGTGTGTACATTTGTAGATGTAATCTATGCAGTCATATTTTGTACCAGTATAAAACGTTGAATATTCGCTACTATATAACTTTCCAATATGTTATTCTATAATAATGACTACGTTAACAAGAAGTATTGAATATTTGTCTCCAGTAATAGACTCATATTTACACAATGTATCGGAAAAGGCTTTGGTTATTGGAATAAGTGGTCCGCAAGGTTCAGGAAAGTCATATTTGACTAATCAATTGGGTACAGAGTTGAGAACCATGTATCCCAAATTGAACATAGTTCTGTTTCTGATGGATGATTTATATCTCACGCATGAAGATCAATTGGCATTAACAACTCGGTCTCGCAAAGATATGGATGATAACAAATTATTGCAAGGCCGTGGGCTCCCTGGAACACATGATATTGCGATAGGGGCTGATCTTTTCTCCAAACTAATGCACAGAAACTCGGAACTGAATATGAACGAAATACCAATTCCATTTTATGATAAAGGTGCATTTAACGGAGAAGGTGATAGGTCCCCTGAATGTAATTGGAATGTGGCTAAAACACCAGTAGACGTTGTTATCTTTGAAGGATGGTTCAATGGTTTTCAACCGTTATCGTTTGACCAATTACGAGTGAAATACTTAACTTCAGATCTAAACAAATCCATCGTACAAAGACATAAGATGTTCCATATTGAACAGGTGAATGAGAACTTGAAAGACTATGCAAAATTATGGTCTTTATTCGATTATTTTATCTACTTAGAAACAGACTCTTTGCAAAACATTTACAATTGGAGATTGGAACAAGAGCATTATCTAAAAGCAACAACCCCAGCAGGTACTGGTATGACAGATGAAGAAGTCATTAAGTTTGTTGATCGATACATGCCAATCTACGAATTATATTATGAGAAAATGTGTAGCGATGGATGTGTTGAGAAAGCGGGTCATAATCTCAAATTAGTTATTAATGCAAAACGTAATATGTTGGATTCTATGATCTATTAAATAATGTACACGTATTTATATATTTTATAAATTAACACCAGAACTTGTAAAATCTTACAAAGAATGGCTTTTCAGCAAGTTGTGCTTTCTCCTCAGCAATTTCTTGTTGAAGAACATCGATATCAATATTAATTCTACCGGTGTCGATGTCCAAATTTTTAGCTCTAATGAATAATGTCCAATCCTTCTTCCAAAGTTTATACCCCAACCAAGATACAAGGATCACTGGTAATCCTAAGTATGAAAGGAAAAAATCATAAGCATTTGGACTACCTCCAAGAGGAAATAATGCAATCCAAAATTGTGCAATCAATACTAAACAATTGAGTAACAATCCATAATATGATCCCCAGACACCACATTGTGATACGTATGGTAATTCAGCAATAGTTCTACCTTGATATGACATGGCCCTTCTGAAACGAATATGAGCTACATTGATTGAGATCCATGTGAAAATCGAACTTAAACCTGATAATGCTAATAACCAGTCAAAAGCTTCAACTTGTTTATCAGACGCAGCAATGAATGCAAAAAGACCAAACACATTAGTAATTAAAATAGCAACAAGTGGTCTACCAGCTCTATCAACATAACCCGTCCATTTAGGGGCCATACCTTGTTCCGCCAATGAATTTAATGAACGTGATGTAGCATATACTGAAGAATTTCCAACAGACAAAACAGCGATTAAAATAACAGCATTAATAACACTAGGTAAACCGCTAATACCACCATTACGAATTGCAATAACAAATGGAGATGCTGTAGCGTCAACATCTGAAGCCCCAATTAAGCTTTCATCAGTATATGAAACTAACGTACCTACCATAGTCAATGATACCAAGTAAAACAAACAAATTCTCCAGAAGACCTGTTTAATAGCCTTTGGCAATGTTTTTCTTGGATTTGCTGTTTCAGCTGCAGTTAAGCCAATCATCTCAGTTCCACCAAAACTAAAGGCAGCAGTTACGAAAACGGAACAGACACCTTTGAATCCATTCGCAAATGGACCAGGCTCTCTCCAATTCCTGCCTCCGACAAATTCATGAGTTGGACCACCACCACAAATTAAGACAATACTTAATATTATGAAACCAATAATTGCAATAACTTTAACCAATGAAAATATGAATTCAGCCTCACCATATCCTTTAACACCTAGCATTGTGATAAACACTACGGACACCCAAAATATTGCCACGAATATATCTGAATTTAAATCTGAGTTCCAATATTTAATTGTTATCGACGCCGCTACTAATTCCAAAGGCAATAGCACAAAAAATTGCATGAAATAATTCCATCCTATAGCAAATCCAACAGCTGGTTCGATAAATCTAGTAGCATAAATATTAAAACCACCACTTACAGGTAACGCAACTGATAACTCACCTAAACCTTGAACGGTAGCAAAAACTCCAGTAGAAATGACAGTCCATGCAATAATTAACCCGGCTGAGCCACCGTCTTTGAGAGCACCTCCAGATCCTACGAATAAACCTGTACCAATTGAAGACCCTATCGCAATCATTTGCAAGTGTCTGGATTTTAAAGAACGAGATAATTGGGAATTAGCCGATCTCAAAGCTGCTCTCTCCACATTGGTAAGATTCGCTTCCTCTTCTTCCGAAATGTCTTTCAGTGTCAAGGTACGAGATTGTTCAGCTGGTTTGAACGAGTTCTTGAATGATTGCCATATTCCTCCATTGTCTGTGCTTTCCAGCGATCCACTTCTAATACGATCAACCTCTGAGAAACTATGAGATTTCTCACGAGATACTTTGCTGTTAACGCTCATGTTCTAATCGTTGCAATCTAAGCAATAGCTACAATACCATTCAAATAAAATATATCTGAAAATTTTTATCTTATTTGAATGATCGCTTCATCAGAATAGCCTTCATCGGAATTGAAATTTTCATGAACACTATTACTTTATATAAAATCGAAGGGCAATGGTGCATGGATGAGTCACATCAGATACAAATGATTCCTAAACGGTTCCCTTGAAGCAAGATGAACCTACAAATTTTGCAGTAAACTGATCTCATCTGGAAAGAGACCGCGGAAATGGCAATTTTTTTGAAATGCCGTTCAAAAATCGAAGGCCGCAAAAAATTAGATAAAGACCTTCGATGCAGGATTATATCAATCTTCGTTTCTTTTGATCAAGATTATCCGGAACCAGTACTTCATTTAACATCCGCTTAGATGTGCTAGGTACAGTAGATCCGTCAGGCGAATTATCTGACAGAACGATATTGTCAGACTGCATCGGATTCAGGTGTATATGGGTACTGAAAAGATTATGTAGCTCGTGATAATCGTGATATAACCTTTTAGAATTAGTTTCCAATCCAATGATCCTGGGTAAAAGTAACTTTAGATATTGTTTTATAGAAGCGATTTCTTGTGTGAGAGCCAGATTTGTACCATGTCCATTATCGCTGATTGATTTTTGCAAAGATGATAACTTGTCCAAGGTTGCCTTATCGTGTGCTTCAAGAATATTGCACATCCTAGTCTCTTTCTCCGAACAAGGTTTGTTAGAATCGCCGGTGTTATCTTGTAATGGCCTATCCAATTTTTCTAGACTGTGGGACATTTTCTCCATACTTTTTATCATCGCTGTCATCAGCTTGTTATTCGTTAATGAGTAGTCTACCTTTTCGCTAATTATCGTTTGAATTGACTCTATGCTATTTCTTCTATCTCTTGAAGAACAGGGCCTTTCGATAGTTGAGACTTTTTCCGATAGGGAGTTAACGGTCTCTATCAATTTTTCATCTATATGGCATCCACTACTAACCCTTTTCACCTCTTCGATTTGGCTTGCCATTTGACTCAACTTCATGGTTATTTCCTCGCAAGCGACCTTTAAAAAATCATAGTTCTGCTTGAATATGTGACCTAAGTTACCTGTAACAATCTCTTTTAAAGATATCGATTCGAGTTCTAATCTTGCAGCCCATGTAATCAATTTATCGTCTGCATTTTCTACATTCGTAGGTACCCTCTTATCCTCTTTAGATGTACCATGGGCATTGGACTTGTCGTCTCTCGGTTGCGATGCAAATTGAAGAGATGCAGCTTGGCTTGTTTCGCCAATATTCTTCAGTTTTTTGCTATCTTTCATTTCTGAAAAGATAATGTCAATCTCACTTGAGAGACCATAATCTGTAGATGGTTCTTCGTTATTCATACCCTTACTAGCCTTTGTTTATGACCCTTTCAGTAAGAAGCGATAGTGATTTGCAACATTCTAGATTACTAAAATTCGCGCTGAGGAAAGTGAAAATAAAAACTCACAGTTGATGCTATTCTATTAAAATAAGTCAATTAACTATAATAAAGCATATAATATTAAAATGTCAAGTCTTAAAGAGTTCTTAGAGAGTATGTTTGATTTTGTTTTATGTTTGATATTGAGGGATTTTACTAACATGAATAGAAAAGGTTAGAGTGATAACGACAGATGCTAGGTTATTTGAAGGAACACTCCAAGGATTTGATAATTCAACAAACGTTATCATTAACAATTGCATAGAAAGATTAATTTATCCTGACGAAGAAGATGATAATCAGGAAATACATTTGGGACTATATTTGATGCGAGGGGGGAATATTGTTTGTATCGGAGAGGTAGATGATACAATAGAAGCTGATATAGATTGGACGAAAGTCAAAGGAGAGACATTAAAAGGAACAAAGAATCCGTTATAAGTAACGCATGTTTATTTTTATTTGCATTGTTATCATTTGAATAACTAAACTTGTATACTAGCTACGTAGATTAATTACAATATTTATCTGTTCTAATCCGTTTGGGTGGTTGTAGGAATTCCTGATTGCTTCATTTTAACGGCCAACTCTAATAAATAATCCAAGGCTTCATTGTAAACCTTGGCCTTCCATACATCCTCTCCCCATACATAAATGCCATGTCTTCTAACAAGAACGGCTGTGGTTCCTGGATAGTTTTTGATGGCCTCCTGGAGACTGTCTGTCAAATCTTCCTCGTGGGGGGTATTTTCGATGATTGGAATAACGAGCTTGTCGAAATATTGCATGCTTCCAATCTTTTCAACTTTGCCAGTCTGCTCATTCACCGCCAATTTTGGCAATGCCTTAATTTGTTCGATATGGGAAATTTCGAACTCAACCTTATGTCCCCATAATAGACTACACATGACAGCATTCTGAGAATGGGTGTGGATACATGCACCAGCGTCTCTCATAGTGTAACAACTCATGAATAACGGAGTACATGCCGAAGGCTTATATTTGTAAGATTTGGTTAATTCCGCTGGACAATCATTTGGAGTACGCAAAAGCTTTTCGTCCGGTAACTCAACTACAAACATTTCCCATGGTTGTAATTTCTCCTTTTGGATTCCTGAAGGGGCAATGTATACTAAATTTGGATTCTCTCCCTTCACGTCACGAATGGAAATACCACCTCCTGTACCAGTGACCCAATTGTTGTCATAAAACAAGCGACACAATTCACAGATTAAATTTGCCGGATGATTTGGATCATTAGCGTCGAGCAAAGAATCATCTAATTTCGAAATTTGATCGTTTTTTTTGTTACAGAAGCAAGCTGCGGACATGACGGTTTCATAAGTTATTTATATGATCTATCAATTATACTTTGGTCAAGTAAAAAGCCAAGAAGTATCATTCTTAGAACGTACTGGAAAGTTAATTATTCACTAGATCAGATAGTACCACGTGATGGCATGGCTTACACTTAAGATCAAACTATCAATAAAATATATATTAAAACACTTTCAACCAAGTACTATAGAACAAATGTATGAATGATATAAACGCCATAAGCTAGGGTAGCTTACGTATAATAATTGAATACCAATTAAAGTAAATTTTTGGTAAAAAAATGAACAAAATGCAAAATACTAAAAATCTAAACATCTAAATTTTCATCCTGGTCAAACCGTTTATTTCTTTTCCTTCTTCTTTTCCTTCTTATCTTTCTTCTCTTTCTTATCCTTCTTTTCTTTCTTTTCCTTCTTTTCCTTCTTTGATTTCTTTGAATCTTCTTCTTCGTCGTCTTCTTCTCTCTTTCTCTTCTTGTCCTTCTTATCCTTCTTTTCCTTCTTTTCTTTCTTTTCTTTCTTTTCTTTCTTTTCCTTCTTTGGTTCTTCTTCGGTTTCGGATTCATCATCAGAGTCGGCATCAGCCATTGGAGCATCAGCATCAGCGTTGTAAGCACGGGCTTCAGTGATATCAACCTTTGGTTGTTCTCTGATAACCTTAGCGGTGGTTCTTAAGTCACGGCCTTCTAAAGCACTTAATCTGGATTCGACCTTAGTTCTAACGGATAAACCGAAATCACCAGAGTCATCACGATCTTCGGCTAAAGAATCATATCTTAAGGCAACGGCAGCCTTGGCCGCTAAAACTCTAGCAATCTTACCCTTGTTCTTACCAGAAGCTTGACCAACTAACGAAGCATGGTATAATAAACCATACTTTGGTGTATCATGCTTAGTCTTTAAAGCTCTGAATAAGGCCTTTTCAGCACCCAATATTTGGATAGTTGATGCAGGGGCCTTTGCCAATGAGGTTAAAGAACCTGAATGAGCAATTAATCTAGCACCGACTAATTCACCAACTAAAGCAGTTAAATTTGGAGCAATAGCCTTCATACGGGATGACAAGTAGTTAGATAATTGTTCTCTGTAAGCAGCAAAGTCAACAATTTGCTCAGCTAAAGCTTTAATGTTTTCTAAATCAATATCAGTGATTTCGGTACCCATAGAAACTTCTGCGGCAGACTTAACTTGTTCTTCAGCTTCTTCTGGTAAGATTTCAGATAAGTCGGTATCAGCTGCGTTGGATCTAATACCCATGGTTAAAATGATCCTTGCGTATGCAACGGAGTCAGTGATCATTTTAGCCAATTCTGGGAAATGCCATCCGTACCATTCCTTACAACGCATAGCATATGTGTTTAATTCCTTGTCTAAGTCATCTAATAAAGCAATTGCTTGAACAATCATGGTATCAACCTTGTCAGCAGAAAACTTCAATTTGTGACGACCCATGGAGTGGGCTAACCCTAAAGACATTTGCTTTAAGGCTGAATCATCCAAACCTGGCAACAATTCTGGCAAAAATTCTTTGATGGCTCTGTGCAAGTCTAAAGAGGCAGCATCTGAAACAACAGAAAAGTTCAATCCTAACTTGTTGATAGCATTACCTAACTTGGCTTCCGACACAATTAAAGTGGCCTTCTTGTCGTTCTTGACGTCTTCCAACATTTTTTTCAAGTTGTCCGAAATACGTCCCTCGATAATAGCATTGGCTTCTTCCAAAGCGTTGGCAGCCGACTGGAACTTCTCGAAACGGTGGATCTTGAATTGTTCTGTCACTTTTTCAACTGTGTTCAAGTCTTCGATCAACGACGAAGACTTGTAAATCTTTTTGTCTGACGCTTTCAACAAAGCATAACCGGCAGCGGTTTCTGTTAATACGTAAGCCATTTTACTTTCTCTTCGATATTGTCTTGTTTGTTTCTAAAGTATACTTAGTTGAACTTAGATAAATTTGTAGTGCAATACAATAATCCTCTAATGTTTTATGCAAGAATAAGGAACTTTGGTATACCTGGTATTATTTTCAGTAACTTCCAAAAGATCAGATATAATATCCTTATAACAATTATCTAATAATACGAAGAAATGTTATCTTAAAATCTTAATCTCTTACTACTAATAATGGGTTGATTGAAATTTTTCAATCGATGAGGTTTAAAATTTTTCCCATCTCGCTGGAAGTTACACAAAATTGTCTGTGACGACATATGTCGTTTTGGTGCAAAATAATTTATTTGGAGTGCAACACGTCCTATTCTTTTGTATTTGTACATGTAAATAATAGCCATTTGAGAGGATAGTGGCCCCATTGTCAGCATATAAGGTCTATTGATAGATTGGAGGAGTTACGATGACAGATAAGCGGCAGGGGATAGCGTTGACACCCAAGTCGAAGGCTGTGAAAAAGATGAGACCAAATGAGGTCGGATCAAATTATAAAGAGAATATAGACGATGTGAATAAAGTACGGAAAAACCCCGCTAAGACGACGTATTTTTTCCAGCCCACTAATACGCTAGCATATAGGGACAGTGGATCTAGGGAGGTGAAGGATAAAATAGGTGATAGTGGTACAGGGGCACATGCGTTGAAGGAATCAGATCCGAATGCGCTATCGTCTACGAAGCCGAACCTGCTGGCGCAACAGATCAAGACGCCGTCGAAAACATATGAAAACTACGAGAAGTTCATTCAGGAGCAGCAGAGCTCGGATGACAGTTTTGACGGTATACGGTGGAGGGCTAGCCCTCGGAAGGCGATCAGTAAGGGCGTGAACGGGATGCCATCGTCGCCGTTGAAAAATACCATATCGCCACGGAAAAGGGGAGAAGAACTGAAGCTGTCGTCCACATTAGTCAATGAACAAGCCAATTCGGTGCTATCGAAGTATGGAGCAGGATTCCATAATATTCTGTCGCAGACACCGACTATGAACAGAACGCATTCGGATATTTCATCATCGGAGAGTGTGCATAAAAAGTTTATCAATGCACAACATTCGCCCTCATTGACCCGTACAAAGTCCTTTGGAATGGACAACCTTGCCAGCTCAAAGACAGTGTCGATGCTCCACCGATTCGAACGGCCAAATTCAAAATCTATAACACCTAAAACAACCGCATCATTTTCAAATTCTACCTCACTCAACAGCTGGATTGATAAGTTTGATAAGAGTAATCTGAAGGCGGAAACTTCCCCTTGTGCCCTTGATTTGAAAACTATAGCATCATCGGCCAATGAGATAATCCATTCGGCTCAACACCCAAATCACAATAACGAACAGAAGCTTAAGTGCGAGACTAGTGTAGGTGTGCAAGAAACAGTTGTCACGCAAGAAGTTTTGAATGGTATTGACTTCAGTGATGATTTTAGTGATTCTGGTTTAATGACCTCGCCCAATAAACCTGAAGAAAGTGTTAAACTTGAACCTGTTCCAGTTGATTCTGATGATCCATTTTCGTCTGATGATGAGGTAGTGTTGACTGCTATGAGAACTCAATCGAGAAAATTGGAGGATAAGTCACAGTCTCAAGCTATTGATGAGGAAGACTCCGAGGATCCATTTTCTGATGACGATGTAAAATTTTCACAGCTCGATACGAAAATAGAGACTCGACCTTCATCTTCGTCCCAAAAATACTTGAGCACACAGCAAAAATCGGATAATCGACACGCAGAATCGTTCCAGAAAGATGTTAAGAGACTTGAAGACCTTCAATCAATCGATAAAAGTATTAATGATAATGATATTAATGATGCTCAATTGTCGTACTCCCGTCCCGATTTGCAACGGTTTCAAATAAAGTCCATATTAAATAACACTTACAAGGTTCAAAATAGAATCAGAAATCAGGCTATTTTGATAGTTGTTGATGGAAAACTTGAGGAACTGAAACTAATCCTAAGAGGAGAATACTTACAACTTGATTTTCAAATAAATGATGTAATCCATTTGATCCTTACTGATCCATCTCATCCTAAGCTTATTGATGACACGCATAATTTGTTAATTTGGAACCCAGATATATTGGTCTCGGCTACAACTGTCTCTCAGCAAATGGGGTGCCCTAGAAAAAGTGTACTAATTAACCGGCTAAGTTTTCCTGGTGAATCATCTATACCTTTAATCGTAGGTATTATTATTCATGAAATTTTCCAGGCCTGTTTCCATACTGAAAATTGGAGTATGGACTATATGGTAGGTTTAATGGAACTTGAAATTCAATCCAAACTACTACAAATTTATAGCATTGGAAATGAAGTAAACAAAGTGAAGACTGAAATTCAGAATCAATTACCATATCTAGAGACATGGTTCAAGACTTACTTCAAGAAGCCATTATCGTCAAATACCTCAATTCCTACGAACCATGGGAATCAAAAAGTAATGTTTGCTGCTAATAAGGCATTAGATATTGAAGAAAACATATGGTCTCCCATGTTCGGTCTAAAAGGAAAAGTAGATGTAACTCTTGAAGGACAATTGTATGACCAATCTACAAACGGGAAATTTTTGCTACCGTTGGAAATTAAGACTGGCAGGGAATACATAAGTCATCATGCACAATCTTCTTTATACTCATTACTATTCAAGGATAGATATGATATGGACGTTAACATGTTCTTGTTGGTCTATACAAAGGAAAGAATATCTAAGAAATATGATATCAGTCGTACTGATTTAAAATCGTTAGTCAACTTGCGTAACAGAATTACGAAATATTTCAAATCTGGAACACGAGAGCTTCCAGAGCTAATAAAGCAATCGCAATGTGATCGGTGTGAAGTACAACAGGCGTGTATGACTATAAATAAGTTGGTGGAGAATGGAACAGCTGAAGAAAGTGGATTACCACAGGATGTATATGATGGTTTAACAATCCATTTGGAAAATGATGAAAATTCTAGAGAATTTTATAATTACTGGGATAATCTTATAACCCAAGAAGAAGGTATAATGACGAACTTAAAAAAAGATCTTTGGACTCTTACTGCTAAAGAACGTGAAAACACCAAGGGCAAGGCATTATCTGACCTTATTATTAAGGAGTCAAATGATAATGACGATTTTCAAGAGAAATTTTTCTATACTTTTGAAAGGCCTAATAATCCGCAATCTTTGCAGAATTCACAATTAATCAAGCATGATAGGATCATTATAAGCGATCAAGAAGGACACTTCGCAATCGCACAAGGGTTTATTACTGCCATCAGACCGAGTTTCATAAAAATTACTGCTGATAGGAGAATTGTTAACTCAAACCTCAAAGTGGATGGTTTTAACGAGACGGATAACCAAACATTCCAAAGTGTACTCCATAAAAATCTAAATTCCCAGCAACGAGATACATTGTATCGTATAGATAAAGACGATATGTTTCATGGAATGGGCTTAGCCAGATACAATATTTTGAATTTATTCTTGAAGGATGGTGATTCACGCAGAAGGGAATCCATTGTCAATTTAAAAGAGCCAAAATTTTTGCCGCCAAAGTTGCAATATGATATTTCTTCTGAAAATTTCAATAGTGATCAAATCGGAGCTTTTGATAAGATTCTTAGTACAAAGGACTATTCGTTGGTTTTAGGAATGCCTGGAACTGGTAAAACCACTGTCATCGCACAAATCATTAAATTATTGGTACAGAATAAGAAGACTGTTTTATTAGCCTCTTATACACATTCTGCTGTGGACAATATACTATTGAAAGTTAAAGATTACGGAATTGATATCTTGAGAGTTGGATCGCCTTTAAAAGTTCATAAAGATATTAGAAAGTATGTTGCAGGCTTTGATACAAACAAGCAAATCAAAAACTATGATGATTTTATTGCAACATACATGACGCCCTCGGTTGTGGCTGCTACATGTCTAGGAATTGGCGATATTGCTTTCAATTTGAGAACGCATTTTGACTACTGTATCATTGATGAAGCCTCGCAAGTATCGTTACCTATTAGTATCGGGCCCTTGCGTTTTTGCGACAAGTTTGTCTTGGTTGGCGATCATAACCAATTACCTCCATTAGTTCAACATCCAAATCCAGCTATCAAGCAAGGATTATCCCGTTCTTTGTTCAAGATATTGAGTGACACATATCCGCAAAGCATTGCTGAATTAACTTATCAATACCGAATGTGTGAAGAAATCATGTTGCTATCAAACGTTTTAATTTATGGTGGGCGCCTAAAATGTGGTACGGAAAAAGTTGCAAAGCAAAGCTTATATATTCCAAACCCCAATATGATAGAAGATCAAATATCTCCACAATATTCTTCAAAATTACGAAAAGAAGATCTATGGATTGATAACATTTTAAAGCCAGAGAATAAGGTGATTTTCATTAATCATGATGATGTCCCAGGAGTTGAAAGGACTATAGGTGAAAAGGTAGAAAATTTAACTGAAGTAGACTTGATTAAGCAAATTGTTGAAAGCTTAACGATGTGTGGTGTGAAAGAGTCGAGCATTGGAGTGATGTCTTTGTACAGATCGCAGTTAAGATTGTTGCATAGAGGATTACTGCACAAACCAGATGTTGAAGTATTAACAGCCGACCAATTTCAAGGCAGAGATAAAGACTGCATTATAATTTCGTTGGTGAGATCAAACAAGGACAATAAGGTTGGCGACCTTTTAAAAGAATGGAGAAGAGTTAACGTTGCGATAACGAGGTCTAAGTCAAAACTAATCATATTAGGTTCAAAATCTACTTTAAAAAGTGTCAAAATGTTAGAAGCATTTATGGCTCTTATTGAAAGTAGAGGGTGGATGTATGATTTACCCCCACATGCTGATAAGTTTTATGAGTTTGCATTTATGGAAAGCCTTAGCAATCCAGTGAGAACCGTGAAATCAAAAGTGAACCAAAACTTGACCCAAGATT